AAATCCTGATAAATTTTTCAAATAAAATGTTGTACATGTCTTCTATGATTTTTTGTATGCATTGCGTGAATGTTCTACATTCCAGCGTTTACCCTTTGGAATTAACGTCGTATAATCTGTATAGAACTCCGAGAACTATTGGGAGGTCATATTAAAGTCCTGTAAATTAATGCGAGAATAGTGGAAATTCCTCTGCAAAGTTGACAGAAGTGGCATTTGAAGAGTTATTTGAGAAGATGAAAAATTTATATTCAAAATCAGAAATGATTCCTTCAAAACTGGAGAAGTTGTGGTAGAATGTCTAATGTAAAGTTTTGAAGTATATCGTGAGATGAGTCAGGAAAACTGGGAAGGTTGATTGAAAATTAATATTTGATAAGGTTACTTAAGTTGGAAAGATTGTCCAGTATGTAATGTCGAAAGAGTTGCTTTGAATGTGGGGAAGTTGTCTGAAAAATTTGAAATGTAGTTTGAGAAACAATTGCATTTGAAGGTGGCAAAGTTGGTCGAAAATCAGTTGGAAAGAGTACTGAAATTCTGTCTGAGACAACGGAAATATTGAAAATATATTTGAGAAGACAAGCGTGTTGTGTTCAAAGTCTGTTGTTACTTTGGAATACAAAACAACAGTTTGCAAAGACTGGAGGGTGTGAAAGTTGTCTGTGAAACTTTGTAAATGTCGTTTAGAAAATATCGCGTGAAAGGGGGAACAGTGTTTTTACAAGATGAGAAAGTAATTTGCAGAGTCAGAAAATTGGTTTAAGACCCAAAATAACAAGTAGCATTGGACGGGGCAATGTGCCTGCAGTGGAAAGGTCGTCACCTGCGCACGCGCTGGAATTGAGTCCTTAGCGACGATAACAACACTCGCAAAGACTCATGGGTAGAACCTTGTTTGTAAACAATGACACGCTTTGGCCATCTAACGCATGCGCAAGTGACGACCCCCCCCCTCCCGCATTAATAGACTTGAAATGTCAAGCAAGTTCGTCTGCAAAGTCATAAATTGTCGGAAATGATCAATTCGAACTCGAGTGCATAGTCTGCCCGGAAAGATTCCTTTAAAAAACACTGAAATGCTCTCTGTGAAGGCAGAAACTGTTTGGGGGGGGGGGGTACCCAGAATGTCCGACAAATAATTTGAAAAGAAAAAAAATGTAAGGCTTGAAAATGCGTACTTAAATATGCGAGTATCTAATGCAAAATCGACAAGTTATATTGGAAGCTTTCTAATCCTTTTGAATAGTTCGAAATGGAGTTTGAGAAGATGACAACGATGTGTGCAAAGTCAGAATAGAAGTCCAAAATGCAGTTCAAAATTCAACAATGTCGTCTGCAAAATCGGAAATGTTACTTTGGAAAGTGGAAAGTTATCGAAAAGATCAAAAATTGATTTGTGAATACAAAACGGTCTTTTTACAAAGACAGAAACGTTACATAGGAAGACGGAAAATAGTCTGAAACAGTTAAAAATGCAGTCCGAGAACTTCAAGATGGAAATTTCCTGCGTGCAAAGTCAAAACAGTTTTATTTGAAGGTGGTAATTCAAAAATTCAGAAAATTGGGTGGAGAAGACGTTGAAAAGAAAGGAAACATTGAAAGCAAAGTGAGAAAAGTTGCATTTGGGTGGGAAAGTTGTGAAAACAGTAAGAGAAATGCTGCTTTAAGAAGACGGAAAGTTGTCTGAATAGTTCAAAAAGTTATGTGTAAACTGAAACTGAAGTCAAAAAGTTGCAATATTAGGCGGGTAAGTTGTTCGAACTTCAAAAAAAATAATTTGCGAGTACGGAAAATAAACTAATTGCTATCCGAAAAGTTAAGAAAAGTCTAAAACGTTCAGAGTCGAAAGCTATTCTTAAGAAGGCGGAAATGAAGTTAAAAAGTCATTTACAAAGTCGTAAATGTTACTATAGAAGGCGGGAAGCTTGTGTGAAAGATTGAAATATAGTCTGAGAAAACGGGAACGTCGTTTGCAAAGTCGGAAAAATTGCTTTAAATGGAGGGAAAGTTGTTCAAAAAGTCGAAAAACATTAGTGAAAATTCGGCTGCAAAGTCGAGAAAAGTGGCGCCGGAAGCCTTAATGTCGTCGGAAAAATTCGAAATGTTGTTTTCGAAGACAAAAACAACGTTTGTAAAAACGGAAATCGTTAGCTTTATACGTCAGTATATCACAGTATAGTTGTATCGCGGCTGATTCAAATACCAACCCCATCTGGCATCGGAAGAAACCGTATGCAAGCAATCACGAGTCCCACGAGCCATCTAGACATTATTTACAAGTACGCCCTCTATGACACGGACGTTGAACGGAAAATCAGTGATAGGACATGTTTAACGTAATAAGAAATGTTATGATGAAGTATAAATATTTTACAAAAAAATCTTTTGCACAACTTCATATACATCTTGAAAACGATGACATTACATTTGAGGCAGCGCCCCCAGTGTCGCATTCGGAAAGGGCAAGAATTCAAGGATGCTGCACAAAGTTCATACAAGTTTACCAGAAATTTTGTTTTGGCGGGGAAATATTGGATTTGAAATTTCCATTATATAAATAAGTTGCATAGGTTGTCAAACTTGACCCAGGGGTATAATGTGCATAGCTAATGAGCTATGTCACGTATGCCTATGCCGAGGGCAAGCAATTAATTACCGGGCTACTATAGTTACACACATATTGCAAGTGAGTCTGTGGTTAAGCTGTTTATTTAAAACAGACTACATCACTATGCGACCCTGACGCAGCCAAGAACTTACACAGTGTACGGATACATCAGTCTGTTCGTATGAATGTGATTTGTCTTTTCATGGCTTGTAACTGGCCGGCGATCGCGACGACTACGCTCAGTTTCGATGCAGGATGGTGAGTTATGGTAAGTGAGGAGAGAACTAATTCAATGTGTAATGATGGTACTGGTTTGACTATGTCACGCTGTGACTTGACACTGAGTGTGTTACCCCGTACAACTCGATTGCAAATGACGACGCACACACACACACATACACATTGTACCTCTAATTCGCTCATAAATACACCAGATTTCATAGCATACGTGTGTATACAACAAGTACATTGACCCCTTAAAATATTACTTTGTGATGTTGTGACAATCATATGACGTATTTATGGTATAAATGTGCACAAGTTAATGGAACCATGTGGGAACTATTTAATGACACGCCCGTTGCCCCCAGTAATTCGGAAATTGTGAATCTTCGTGAATTTTCGCTCGTCAGAATACGTTACGAAAGCTTTATTTGAACCTGGTAGGGAAACTGGCAGACGCAAACAACAAGAATGTCACACAAACGTAAAACTATTGTCATTTTCTTCATTTTCCCCATATGTGGTATATTATGTTACAAGGATGAAGAGATGACTCTCCCCGCTAGTAAGGTATTCTTGTTCTAGTTCCCCCTCTTCTGTCGTATTTCGCTCGTACGTGATATTCTGATTCACGTGAAATTCCGTCTGATTCACGTGATGTTCTGTCTGATTCACGTGATGTTCTGTCTGATTCACGTGATATTCTGTCTGATTCACGTAATATTCTGTATGATTCACGTGATATTCTGTCTGATTCACGTGATAATCTGTCTGATTCACGTGATATTCTGTCTGATTCACGTGATATTCTGATTCACGTGATATTCTGTATCATTCTCGCGATACTCTGTCTAATTACGTCAGCAACTTGTAGGCTTTCAAAGATGCTTCATGATTGGCCACGATCTCCTCGATCCTCCCCATAGGTCTTTGCGCTCTACGCAATTGTACCTCTGTCATAGGCAGCCCCCAATTTTATGATCAATGACCTCACTACGCACGGCTATTTTTCAGCAGTTGTTTTGCCTGAAAACGTACTACAAAACGTAAAATAAATTGTGTGTGACAACCGAACTATTTATTAATGTCTAGCTTTTCTTGAAATGTAAATACAAACAATTTTATTGGGGACGAGGCAACGGACGGAGTTCGGACTGGCCATAGACCATACCACA